TATCCATTTGCCGACGACGCGTTTCACTCAATTCAGAACTCTTCAGGTCGATTGTACTGCAACAAACACAGCAGCGGTCATAGCTCTATTTATATTAACCATTTAATACAATAACATTTGTTATGATGTGTACGCCTTTTACAAACCGGCAAAGAATGACTATAATTATAATCATTCTTCGCTGGCTTGTAAAAAGCGTACACACCATAACAGTTGTTTATAAAACCAACTAGCTGGACATACATTTGTAAAATATGTAATCTTGTGTCATATTTTTCTAACAAACAACGAACTGGACATACTTCTGTCAAATACTCAGTGTTGTCACTTTCATAGAACCAGCTATAAGGAAATACACTTGTCCAAAGTCGTGTAGGTTTACTTTACGCGTTAAGTTCAACTATTTCAATACACACACATCTCAAGTACGTTGTGTTGTTTCTAAAGCCAGCGCTATTGGAAGGGGGCTTAGATGGTCTTGCCTGTCCAGTTTAGATCCTGTGCCCCTTTATAGATCCCAAATTGATATAAAAAATCTATGACAAATACAAAAAAAAAGATACAATACAAATAAATCTAAACTTAATAGCAATAACGCACCGTGACGTGTAATAGTAGAAAATACGAGTTAATTGACTTCAGTTGCCATTTCTCAAATCAACCCCTCCCTCCACAGCGCACATGCTGCCGCTTAGAACGTGTCTCACACATTCTTATTTTTTTAGTCGTTGCGTAAAATTATTGTTTGAGTTCTATTTTTATTTACTGTTTACTACTGTTAAACCACATACGATAGCTGTAGACCATTATTTGCATTTGTACATCACATGTACCAGCTGTATCAAAAAGCACCTCTATTAACCTTGGTGATGTTATTACCATTGTTATTACGTATACCAACTGTATGCCATAGATACGGCATTATGAATTTGAGCTAATTAATTTGGTTTTTACTGCTAACGGACAACAGTAGCTATACTGTTTTTGTTTTGTCTACTGATTTAGCCATTTTAGTATTATTTAATCATAGGGACGTTTTACATCCTGTGATGGGCGTGGCTTAGTGACTAACTTTCTTGAAAGTTTAGGAAACAATTTGAGCAGTATTATTAAGCTAGAGTAGACTTTTATGGAGTTAATCAATCGACTTAGTTAATGATGATTAATTATTGAGTTAGCGAGTCTATTAGTCAGTTTGTTTGTTACTGTCAGTCAGTTAGTTTGCGTTTCGGTGAAGAAACACAGATATGAGAAAATACTGTATGTACGAGAGAGGTTAACAATTGATTAAAACTGTTCTTTCCCTGAAATGGTGCCCAAGGCCTCCTGGAGAGGTCACCCGTTTTAACCACTCTCACCATTATGCAGTAGTGTTTTCTCACTCAGTCAGTAAACACTAAAATGACGTCACGTAAGGTATTCTTAACGTTGCTATTTGCACTGTCGTTACGTCAGTAAAACGTGCACATGCCATGAATCAGGAGAAGAATTGTGCACTCTGTAGGCTACAACACAGTATGACATATGAACTTC